GCTGGGTAGAGCAGCCTTGGCTGTAGGCCCTTGCTTTTCATGGCTTGGAATATTTGTTGCCATTCCCTTCTGGCTTGTAGTGTTTCTGTTGAGAAGTCAGCTGCTAGGCGTATCGGGGCCCCCTTGTATGTTACTTTCTCCTTCTCCCTTGCTGCCTTGAGGATTCTCTCTTTGTCTTTGACATTTGCCATTTTAATGATGATGTGTCTTGGAGTGGACCTCCTTGGGTCCCTCTTGAGTGGGGTCCTCTGTGCCTCCTGGATCCATGAGAGCCTTTCTCTCCTCAAATTAGGGAAATTTTCCATCATTACTTTTTCGAGGAGGTTCTCTATTCCTTGCTCCTCTTCTTCTCCTTCTGGTATCCCTATTATACGGATATTATTGCGTTTCAGGTTGTCCTGCATTTCCCTAAATGCTTCTTCATTCTTTTTGAGCCGTTTTTCCATTTCTTGTTCTTTCTGGGAGCTTTTTTCTACCTTGTCCTCCATCTCACTGATTCGATCCTCAGCTTCATCCAGCCTGCTTTGGATTCCTTCTACTGTGTTCTTCAATTCAGAAATGGTATTCTTCATATCCTCTTGTGTCTTCTTGATAGTTTCTATGTCCTTTTCCAGGCTGATACAGTTTGCTGTAAGATCCTGATAGTTTCTCTGCAGTTTCTCATAGTTATCTTTGAGCTGGCTGAGCTCATTGAGCTTCCTTAGAACCATTGTTTTAAATTCCATATCTGATAGTTCCCTTGCCTCTATTTCATTGAGCTCTCTCTGTGGGGAGTCCCCTTTTCCACTCATTTGGGGGGAACTTCTTTTTCTTCCCATTTTTGTGAGAGTCTGTTAAGTATTTTTGTCCTTTACTTTTCTTTCTGGGCTTGCCTCTGATGATGTCAGTTGTTGACCCTATAGGGCCTTGGGTTGTTTGTTTGAGCCTTTCAGGAGTCTAATGCCTGTGTCTGACTCCTGCTTGGAGCAGCTCTGTGACCCCTTCGGTCAGGGCTGGGCTATTTTTTGGGATCTCTCTGCGCTCTCACGAGAGCTCCTTGAGCGCGTTCCCAGCGCGGCAGGGTCCCCCACCTGCCTGGGCTCGCATGTGTTTGCCCCAGACCACGGGGCTTATTCGCGACCTCCCGTGCTCATCTGGCCTCCCTGGCACGCGAGCTTCGCGGCACTGGTCAGTTTAGGGTCTTCTATTGTGTGTTTTCCCCGCTTTTGGCTCTTTGGGTGCGTTGCTTGCCCTCGCCAAATGGGGACTACGGAAATGGGAGGAAGTCAGCTCTAGGACTCTCTGGTTAATCCTGTTTCTGGTCTCTCCTCCAGGGACTCTGGGCAGCTCTACTTATTTTGTGGGCTGCTCTGCAATCGCGGCGGGTAGGTCAATTTACGCCTGCCCTTGCCCCTCTGTGCAATTCCTCGCAGGCCGTATGGGTGCCAGTCTGTGTGAGGCCTTGCCGGCCGATGCAAGTGTTCGCCAGCCTGCGTGGGTCACACACACGCTCGCCAACCCTCGCCAGTCACTTGGCGCAAGTGTGCGCGCCTGCTCTGGGTGTTTTGGGGGTTTCTATGTTTGCTTTTCAGCTTTTGGCTCTTTGGGGGTGTGGCCTCTTCCCGCGCAATGGAGACTACGGCAAGGAGAAGGAGTCAGGACTCCCCGGTTCCTCCTCCCGTTCTTTCCCCAATGCCTCCGTTTCTAGCCTCCCCTCAGGGGCCTCTGGGCAGTTCTGTGACCCCTTCGGCCGAGGATCCAACCCCTGTGCGGACTGTGTTTCAATCGCAGGCAGTCTGGTTCATGCGCGCCCCGCTTCTGCCTCTTTGGGGTCGCGCCTTTCCAGCCCACAATGGAGACTACCGAACGGGGAGGGAGTCGGGACTCCCCGGTTCCTCCTCCCGTTCTTTCCCCAACACCTCCGCCTCCAGTCTCTCCTCAAGGCTCTCCCAGCCAGTCTGCACTCAGCCCCGCAGCTCACACACGTACAAGCTGTGTGCGGAGTGCACAAAAGGCAGGTTAATTGATTCCCTTATGCCTGAGCGAGATGGTAGCTGCCGAATGGGAAGTGCGTTATCACCCGGGCTCCACCGGCCGCAGTGTCAGTTCTCTTCACAAAGTTTTCCTCACCAGTCCTTTCCCAGGCACCAGCCCACCCTGCTGCTGCCTGTACCCAGCGATCAAGGAGGGTGGCTGCCGCTGCAACTTCTGCGTTTGCCCTTTAAATGTCTTTTTGCATCCCCAGCCACCTGTCTCTGGCAGAGAGTGCCCCTAAGCTTTTTGGGGTTGCGTTTTGTCTGTATTTTCTCGGCTCTAGCTGCTGTAGTTTAGGGGTTCCTGTTTATGATTCAGACCCCGTTCTTCTCGGGGTGACGCTAACTGGCCGTTTCAATGTCCCTCTGGTGCCAGTGCCCGTGCGCACCCAGCCCACCCTCTCGAGCCTCCACCGCAATTCTCACCCGTTGGGATGTGTGAGAGTCGAATCCACTGTCCGCGGCACCAAGGCTCCTCTCCCACTATCGCTCCACTGCTTTCCAGGTGATTACTCCATTATTTAGTTGCAATTCCAGTTTGGTTTTGGGAGGAGGTCAGCGTGACTCCCTTTCACTCCTCCGCCATCTTTTTCTCTCCAAGACTTAATTTTTTAAATAAAATCTTTGTGTGGTAAGTGTGTGCTGAATAACTTTGATTTAATGGTTTTCAAATAATTCAAGCCCTCTGCCTTAACATTCTAGTTTTTTAGTACATAGGTCATATCAATCTATTCCACTACTTTTCACACACATCCTATGTTCCATTTAGATGGGTCTCTTTATCTAGCTATCTATCCATTTATCTATCTCTCATCTATCTATCTCTCATCTATCAATCATCACCTGTCATTTCTCAGTCTATCTGTCTTTCCTTCCCTCCTTTCATTTTAATTCAAATATTAAATTGTGAAATTTTGCTCTCTTGACCTCCATCATATTATTTTGTTCCTTCTCTCCCTGTCATGAATCCCTGGAATGTGCCTCTTTCTCTCTATCTATGCAAATTTATGGCCCAATAAAAATTTCTCATGGCCCAAAAAGGGACCCAACTTCTTCATGAAGTTGTGTTCATGTATTCATCCACTCTGATGATTCTCTTCCATGAACTCTTATTGCACAAGATGGAGTTTTCCAGATTGTTTTACAGAGGTTCAATTTATCTTTTTAATTAGATCATATTATTCTTGAGGGTGAAAATATATTTTATATATTTTTTTTAAATATCAACCAGAATATATGGTACTTCTTTGGGCACATTATTGGCCAACTTAATTCCTTTTTGGTCAACAATACAGTTTTTAAGTTGATGTGTCAAATGATGGAATTAGAGAATCAAAAAATATTAGAATTACCTCTACTTGTTTTAGTAATTCTAGGTCATCTAGGCTGATTTACATACTTAACAGGTATGGAAATTGGGTTACAGAGATGAAAGTATTTTATTGGAAACTATGTATTCATTTATTCTTTGGGATACTGCTACTACCTACTTTTGCGGTATTTGAGGGAAATATTTGATAGCCACTACAACCTCTAATTTGTCAGACAGGAAAGAAGGAGATTAGATCCCACCTATTTTAGGCATTTGTGGTTAAACACAGTAAAGTTCTTTCTCTCTCTGTGTCCATATACAATACATTCTTCCTTCTTTTAGTTGCTATAATCAGCTTGCAGAACATTTATTTTGAACCCAATCTTAAACTGAAGGGTTTAAGCATAGGAAAATAATGTATTTCAGAAGCTTTCTGATGACTTTTCCACACTGTAGTAGAAGAGAGCTCTTCATGGTTATTCTATGTTTTCTTTGGCTTTAGAATGACTTTTTCCATATATAATGATGATAAAGAGAAATACAGCTTTGAAAAATGCTATGTAGGAAATAAAGGATTAAGAACAATATTTTCTATTGGGAATATACAATGAAGGGTTTGTTGTAACCAGGAGAAAGAGTATTGAACATGCAGCTTTTCAGCACTGACAGCCCCTGAGATATTGCATTTATTGATGGTACATGTTTTCATTTTTTTCACCTTTAAAGGAAAATTGCAAGATTGGCTGTATCTCAATAAGAACCTACTGGTATAGCACAATAGTGGAATATGATAGGTATTCAGTACATACTAATGAAATTCAGTTAAATTTAAAGCAAAAATACAAGTGATTTAAACTTCTGGAACAAGAGAAATTTATTGTAAGAAACTTTGAATGAATGAGATATTTTGGCCTTGAATTTTATTCAAACTTCATGGCCAAATCTGTCAAACTAGTTGAGGTTTTTTTTTTTGTTTTTGTTTTTGTTTTTGTTTTTGTTTTTGCCTGTGATTCTCTTCGTGGGACCTTCAATTAACTTGGCTAACTTCTGTCATTCTTCAAGGCTTAGCTCTAAGATAGACCTCGTTGGGAAGCCTTTTAAGATATACCCTGTGGTTATGATCCACAACCAGGAATTTATGGCTTCCCAATGTGCTGCTATATCACTCTATGCTTATAATAGCATATCTGTTGTTACATTCTGTAAAATTATCTGTTTACTAGTATAAATTGTCTTCTGCATCCAACTGAATGCTGAGAGTAGGTATTATTTCTTAAGAATCTACTATGAGAATTCAAAGTCAATGAATGAATAAAATTGTACAAGTACAGAAATACTTAGAAAAAGTTTTCCTTATTAGGGAGAAGAGAGTGCAATAGAAAGCTATTAACAATGTTCTCAAAGTAATCTCTAAGATGGTTCATATTATGACAGGCCATTAGGCCCAATGGACTCTGACAAGAGTGGGTTAGACTTATAAGTTGTTAAATATAGAATAATTTGGAGCAATTAATTCTCTCTTAGAGCTTCAGCATTCACACCTGAAAAATAGATGAGTAATGGCCCATAGTGAACACTCCACACTGTTATTAATAAATAGGGCATTAGATAATTCTTAGCTAATGAAAGCCAGTAGAATTTCTTTCAGTATTTTCAAAGTGTAATATCAAACTTACCTCTTCCTCTGTCAAGGACACTACCAGGGGCAGTCCATGAAAGTTGAATATTATCTTTAAACTTAGCCTTGAGGTCTGTAATTTTACTGGGTGGGAGTATCGGAGTACCACTACCACCAGGAGGAACATCTGTTATAGTAATTATGTCTCCAGAGGCTACTCTGTCGAAGTCGCCTACTCCAGTAGCTGCTGTGTCTTGTTTGGTTTTAGGTCTGGGTGGGTTCGGTATAACAGTACCTAACAAAAAAGTAAAATTGTGACTTGTCATATTGACATATGTATTTTTAGCTTGTAATCTCCTTTAGCAGCTGTAGAGGGTTAATATTGATTGATAGCAGACATTGAGAAAGTAATAGCTTTCAGTGAAAAAAAAACTTGTTTTATTGGTGTCATGTTAAAATTGGTGAGGACACTATGCAATGTTAGAACTATCTTTTAACCTATCTTTATTACGTGACAGTAAATTCTTTGAGGACAGGGATGGTGTCTTATTTACTACCTTTGAAGCTCTAGCCTCTTGCACAGAGGTCCCTCGCCTCTGGGCTGCAGACCAGTACTGGTCTGAGGCCTGAGGCCTGTTAGGAACCAGGCCGCACAGCAAGAGGTGAGCTTGAATCATCCTGAAACCACCCCCCACCATGGTCCATGGGAAAATTGTCTTCCATGAAACCAGTCAGTCCTTGGTGCCAAAAAGTTGGGGACTGCTGATCTGGTGCAATGCTTGCCACATACAAGGTGCTCAGTAATTTTTTTCAATGTAAATAAAATGAACTGAGGGGGATGTAAACAGAACATGTTGGAAGCATAGCCCACTGCTAGAGGTTCTATTATAGAAATATGGTTTTGAAACATGCAGATGATTTTATAACTATTACTTAGGTTTTCTATAGTGCATTATATTTTCAATGCTTGACACTTATAATTAAACTTAACAAAGGACATATTTCTATTTTAAGGCCACTTACCATTTTCTACATAGCCTGGTACATACAGAGATTGGTTCGGCCGTTGTCTTAAACTTAGCCTAGCCATGTTTTTTCTTGCCTGGACACGTACTTTTAAACTGTATCTACCATTTCCATGGTATTCTGTAAAATATCTTGAGTAGATGCCATCATTTTTGACTGCGTCAGCACCTTAATATCGAAATGCAACAATTAGCCATCCAACAGAGTAAAAATGACAGTGCCAACTGTTCACAAATACCAGTGATAGCACCATTTTGGGAGATAGTATAGAATAGTGTTTAAGTATATGAATCCTGGACTCCAACTGTTTAGGTTCAAAGCCTGGCTTGGCTACTTGCTAACTTTGACTTTGGAAAAGCACAATTCATGGTAAGTATTCAATTAATATTAGCTATAATTATTTCATAAAGGAATCTTAACAAAATAAGGAAAATATAACTAAACCAGAGAAAAGCATATGCAAAACAATGACTAATGAAAATAGAGAAAAATTATACTGTTAAATTCCACTAGAAAAGTACAATTGTTCATAACATTTAAAGAAGATACAGGTGATCATGTCTATGCCTAGTCAAGGTAACTGAGTAAAAGTCTTCAAAGCATTAAAATTAAATTTAATTCACTTAAAGTATGATTCATTAACATACATAGGGAATATTGACTTTCAAGTGATATGGCCGTAGTAGCATCTTAAGTTCAGTGGAAGTTGATGCAGATTCTTATTACCTGCACCATTGTCCCAGAGTTCCAATGTTACTTGAGGTCCATTTTCGGCTTCTACAATGGCTGTTACATGAACTCCAAGAACAGGCAAAAACCCTTGACTGACTCGTGCATAAACAATCACTGGGCTAGGGTAATGGGCTTTATTTTGACTCATGTGAACAGTTGCAGTTACTGGCAGTGTGGTAGAACTACTTGCTCGAGTAGTCACAGTCACCGTTAGTGTTTGAGAGTCGCGATGATTATTTAGAAGGCTGTATGTCCAACTACCTTTCTGAAAAAAAAAAGAAATCTATTGGAGAGATTTTGTAACATTTGGTAGAGTAATGGTACTGATTTTATTATGTGATTTTATAAGCTAATAAATTTTATGGATATGACTCCCTAATTATTGAATTTGGCTTCCTTTTTATGACACATGATCTGTCACTTTTAATATTGATAATGTGTAAGATGTTATCTGTATTTTCCTCAAAATTGATTGATAAAGCATGGAAAAAATAAAAGAATATTCTTACCTCTGCAATATCTGGTATGTGGAGACGGGCAGATCGAACATTTAGTCTATCTTCTTTGAAAGCCGTGGTTTTATATACCTTTCCTTTTGGATCATGGAGAAGAATTTCTGGCTTTTGTATTGTCCACGTGACAACAAAGAAAGTGTCACTTCCAATTGTACCATCCACAAACACTGTACCATTTATCCATTTACTTCCTGTAACAGTCATGGCTTTACTTTCCAACTGTTACATAAAAAACAAAACAAAACAAAACATAAAACTGATTTGTTATAGTTACTAGAATTTCAAAGTTTGGCAAGTTCAGAAGAGTTCTAAATTTATTTTTAAGATTTCAATTAAAGTAATGAAGAATTATTTTGAAAAAATTTTCAAATAAAATGCATTTATAATTATGAAGAATAGAAGGATTGAAGGAAAAAATGCTATACAGTGTCCCAGAAAAGCAAATTCAGTAAGAATGTTTTTCTTTTTCATATCTGAAATATATTCAGGCAAGAGAGTTACTTATTAGAGGAAAGAGTTACTTTTACTATGATAGACATTTATTACAAATGTGAAAAGGCAAGAAATTTTCTGAGATACTGACCTGAATAGCACGTTGAGTAATGTTGCCACTTGGAGATGAAATTCTACTGAAAACATCAATAAGGCCATTTACGTCTTTATTGGCAAAAAGCTGAAGTCCTCCTAAAACGGAATTTTATTTCCTTTTATAATTCTAATTTTAAATGGGAAAATAATATTTTTATTGTGCTCATCAGTCTTCTCTAAAATATGTTAATATATTATAAACTTACAAAAGATGAATTTCCCAGAACCTTAGGAACTTTTAGCATATCAGTGTCCAAGGTGTCATCCTATAATAACTAAAACCTTGCTCAGAAAGAGTTAGAATGAAGAAAATTTAAGGAACTGGCCAAATATTATTGTTTTTATATCAGTCGTTAGATTCAAGTGCCTGCCACATTAGTAAAGCTGATCTAATCACTAAATAATATTGTAGAAATGAAATTTAAGGCAATTTTTTGAATCAGTGGCTGATTTTACAGTTGTGTCTAAGATATGCCAAAACACTTAGAGAATGACAACTTAAAATCAAGTAATAATTAAGTACAGAAAAGAAATAATATAGGAGTTAAAGAAGAAGGAGATTACTTAGATGTGAGGAGTTGGAAAAGAATGTGTTGCAGAGAGCAAGAGTAAGTAATCAGCACTCTATCTATATCCTGGTATTTTCTAGGTTTCCATTTCTTCCTCTATGGAACAGGGCTATCTGACTCTTTACTGGTAGGACTGAGCAGTTGGATAAGTCACTGGGAACCATTTGGGAAGAAGTTTCGATTTGGTTGTATTGGTAGAAAGTCGTGAGAAATGAATAAAGACAATAAATGTTGACTAATATCAGAAGAAGTCAGTATAGGTAGGAGTGGAGAGAAGTGAAGGGGTGAGAAGAAAATACATTAACTTGAAAAACAAGGACAAGGAAGCAACAAAGATTAATTTTCAGGATAGGAGCTTTTTGAGCAGTTTTGTATTTAAGGAGAAAGAGCCCCGGGATGGGAGAGACTGAAATTGATAGTATTTTCTATTCAAACTATCTTCCAAAGGTTTACCTGTCATACTTGACAGGGTCTCCAGTTCTCGGTCAGCAGAAGGTCCCAGAGCAATGGTGTGGATTATTGCCCCACTTCGTTTCACGTCTTCAAGGCATGACCTTATTTCACTATCTTCTCCATCTGTTAGTAATATGATTTCAGAACCAGAAGTGCTCTGGTTACTTTGGATAATTACCTGATAGTGAAAAACCAAACTATTAATTACAGAATATCATATTTAACTAAATTTAAACTAAGAATAAACTTGTTCTTTATTCTTAGAGAAGTCTAGGTCTATGTGTAGGAGTAGGCAAAAGGAAACTTTTTTGCATTGTCATTCCAGGCTGAGTTGGCATGGAAGTGTGTAGAATGTACAATGGTCTTGTAGACTTTCAAAGATAAGGTGTTAATAGTTCTATTCCTTTTAAATATACTCAAACTACCGAAGAGAGGAAGAATAAATACTTGGAACAATTCCTAGTACATAGTAAGTACTCAGTGAATGTTAATTATCATAGGAGGTATTTGGGGTGGAGGTATTTCACCCAGGAAGTTTTAGAAATGTTGCCAACTAGACAACATTTGCAAATTCATGACTCAGGGCAGGTATTTGAGGTTAAATGATGTGACATATGTCTTTTAGACATTTTAGTTGATAACTGAAGAATCTCATGATTTCCTGACTTGCTGTGAAGGAGGAAGTTTGTAAATATATCAAGTATTACTTTTTTTTTTTTTGGTCTTTTCCTGACTTCTACCAAGAGTACTGGCTAAGATCTTGAGTCAGACAAGTTGAGAGTAAATTCCAGCCCAGCTGTTTGCTGAATAGAATAGCTAGTGTTTAGTCAGTCTCTTTCTCTGTGTCTTCTACATAATAAAGTTCCATAAATAGCTCTGAATAGTGATTAACTTTTTGGACTTTGGCATTAGAAAGGCCAAGTTTTGAATCCTAGATATGTCAATTACTGGCTATATGATCTTGAGAAAGGTATTTAATTACCCTGGATCTTAGCTTCTGTATGAGCAAAATGGGCATGATAATAGTGCCCAACTAAAAAAATTAATAGTAAAGATAAAATAAGATCATGCATTTAAGGCATTTAACATAGTTGATAATGTAGTATATGCTCAATAAATTTTAATTATTACTGTAATGATTATGTAAGTAAAATGTGTATATATTAATATGGTTTCATTACATAAGTAATTAAGAGGTATTTATTTATAGTTTTGAATGTGATTTGGCAGAATCAACTTAACCATAGATTATGTGGTCAAAATATAAGATATATGTATGTAAACATATTGAGAAAAACGTGTAAAATAATATGTGCCAACATTATGACACATTCACAGTATATAGTACTGTCATTTTTAGATGTAAATAGATATATATGTAATAAGAGTTATGGTTATTATAATAGTAATCCTTTCTTGAGAACTTACTTGTTATATATAATACTCAAAATTAAATGAGATAGGTGCTATTATTTTCCACATTTCCTTGATTGAGGAAACTGAGAGTTTTGAAGCTGAGTAATTTACCCAAGGTTATTTAGCTAATAAATAATAGAGCCAGAATCCCAAATTTGTCTGAATACAGAGCATGTGTGCCTGCTTGAACTAGTTTGCTTTACAACAAATAGACATCATGAAGAAAGCTAAGAAATGGTATTAAGAAGTAGTTTGGATAAGAATAACAATCTCTACATTTTAGCTGAGGTAATGAAAGGATCAATGAAGGAAAACAGTTTACTGTTTTTGTAACTTCAGGATGCCAGTACATAGGCTTAAATATAGGCTAACTAAAGGTTGGAAGAAATTCAAATGAGCACCAGGGGCTCAAGTCACTCCCAATTTTTGATCTCACAATTTTATTTCATTAAACTTCCACCTCTATGTCTTGGGTTCAGTACTATACTACTTGAGGAACTACCTCTACCTTTGTAAATATCAAGGTAACTTGATGTACTGGGTCTTCTTTATCCCATAATACAGAAATATTACTATTTTTTTTCTTTCACAAGCCTAACAGAATTATCATTTACTCATAGAAATTCAGACTATGGGAGTGATAAAGAAATGGGAGCTCCTCAATAAAATCATGATGATTATGTACACACTGCCCTTTTCTTCCCTTACTCAACTACTCCCTAATGCAACAAAGAGAGGCTCTAGCTTTAAACAACAGATGTAGGAGAGTCTTTTAAAAAAAAATTATTTAAATGAAGGACCTGTGAGCTCATGACCCATGTTCAAAGATAGTTGGAAAAATTAAAAGCAATGGTAAGCGACAAACTATATTTAGAAAAGCATTTTTTAAATTTTACCTCGAATCCTTTTCTGAGTCCTTCACAAATCGAAGTTCCACCATTAGCTTGTAGGGGCAGATTCGCAGTGATACTTTGGTAGGCATTCTCATTGTTTATTTCCATAAGATAATTTTGGATTGTAGCCGAACTATCAAATGTGACCAACCCAACCAATGATCCCACTTCAATAATTTGAATCAAGTATAGTTCTACCGCTTGATTCATTCGTAAGAGACGGTCTTCCTGTAAGAAAAAGATGTCTGAACAGTCTCCTGAGATCCTGACATATTGGTGAAAGAAAGTTGTTTTGGGCCAGAGATCATGATAATAATTGATTACTGTATTTTAAAATTTAATTCCCTCATTTTATTGAAGAGAAGTAATATTAAGGAAAAATTTTAAAAAATCAGGCATGTTCTACTTGGAAAAGCCTTAAAAATTTATGCTTTTTTATTTAACAGTTTTATATTAAGGAATTTCTGCTGAAGAAATACTTTAAAAATATACGAAAAAGTGTTCATTGCAACCTAAATTTTAGTAATAATTTGAAAATCTCTAAAATATGCAATAACAGGGAGTTATTTGACTAAACTATGGTATGTGCATATGACACAATCATACTAGAAATTGTGTCATGGAATCATTTTTTCCCATGGGGAGTGTTTAAGGTATAGTAAGTAAAAAAATCCATAGGGAGGAGGAAAAACAAATACATGCACAGAAAAAAGACGGGAATGACATATGCTCAATGGTGGAATTATGGATGATTTTTTGTTCAGTTATATTATTTCTGGTTTGTTAGAATTAAAAATAAAAAAATACACATTATCCATAATTCAATAACCTTTATATAACAATCGCTTTTCATATATCTCTTAGCACTTGTGTATATAAATTACTATAATAAAACTTATTAGAAAAATATATATATTTTAATTAGTTTAGCAGAGCTAAATCTAAGATTAAGTTATATTCATATTAGCTTAAATACTTAATTTAAGAGAGCTAATAAATAAATGTCTTACAGCAGCCATGCTTCCAGATTTATCAAGCACCAAACAGACTACTCGGTGTTTGGACCTGAGCAAAGAAAATGTAGGATGAGGCGGTAGATTCTTTCCTCTCATAGGAGACACGTTCTGAAAATCGTCAGAGTCCTTGATTACATCCCATGTACTTCTGCGATTGCACATTTTGTTCTGCAGGTTTGGAGCTTCTGTATTGTGTGTTTTTGCTGTACAAAATTCAGTCACCTGGGAAAATCAATCGGAAGATGATACTATGATAACTAGTGAGGCATTATCTTCCTTTTCAACTATGCAGTTGACTGCCATATACATACTCCACAGATTTTATCTCCTGACAACTAAATATAATTTTATAATCCAATGTTCTGATATCCATTTTGCATACTTGAGTGGAGAGGAAGCAAGGTAAAACCACTAATATGCACTCTAAAGTTCTTTTGGTGATTCTTTTAGGTATAGGTAGATTACAGCAGTGTAAGGTGGCGGTGGCTGGCACAACTACTTAGATTAACTTCTTGCTTTCCCTTCTAGACCCTTGGGGGACTCAAGCCTTGCATTAAGTTTAATGTAAAAAGGGACAAGGTTTGCAGTAACTCCTAGCTGCCCCCTAAAAGTGGGTTAAAAAAAGGCCTTCTTTAATTGCCTAAGTATTTTCTATATGTTTATAGTTGACTGAAAAACTTGAGAACAGATCATCTAACAGCCAGGATTGTTATTGACTCTGGTGAATCCTGACACAAATAATACTTCTATAAAAGTAATGAAAATGTAGGGAAAAAATGAGGAAATATGATTGCTTTTCTTTCAGTTGCAAATGGTGAATTTTATCCAGTAATTCTGTCAAATGATGTCTCGTCGTCATAGAATCTGTGAGAATCCTACAAGTTTAAACAAGTTAGTAACTTGGAAAAACGCCCCGGTAAACTTGTGGAGCATTCAGGGAAGAATTCACCTCGCAGTAAGCTTCAGCTTCTGGGAAATACTTTTATGTGTCATTTCGTTTTTTAAAATGTACTCCCAATTCTGAGTTTTTGGATGTAAGCTCACGTTTAGAACTAAATGATTAAATCTGGATACATGTTCTTTAAGTTTTAAGAGTTTGTTTTCCTTCTGACAAATGGTTCTGATTTACATTTTCTAGAAGGTTTATATATATTGGATGGGGAAAAATATGGTTTTCATTCACAGCAGTGATTCATAATCAAGCCTTTTTGATATGAAATGCCTATCAATTTCAGTCTCTTTCCTCTGCCACGGCCACTGCTTTTATTCAGGGCCTCCTAGGCCTCTTAACTGCTCGTTGCCAAGGACTTCCAGCTGGTCTCCCTGCCCCGGCTATTATCTCACTCCATTTCATCTTTCACAGTTAGTAGGATTATTTTCTTGAAAGAATTAAGTCAATTACATTCCCAGTCTGAATCTGAAAAGATAAAATCTGAACCCCTTGGTTTTGGTCCCAGTTCCTTGTTTCAATTTCATTTCCTGCTTCTTACTCACCATGTATTCCTCCTTGTTGTACCACACTGAACTTTTTCCTCAAATTTAGAGCGAAGTTATTAAATTTTGATACATTTTCTTTAAGTTTTAAGAGTTTGTTTTCCTTGTGATATAGCTCTGATTTACATTTTCCTTAGAGTATGGGAACTTTCCTTAGAGTGTGGGAAAATCTTTCATAAGGGTTTCTGCTAACCGAAATGGAAAAAGGGAAGGAAATTTTGTGCATAAAAAGGTACACTTCTCTCAAGTCCTTTTATTGCTCTCTACCTGAAAATTGTTTTAATAAATATTAACATCTTTAGTGATCATGAAGTAAATAGTTTGGGCAGTATTCAACTTGTATAGCAATGCATGGTGTCCCTGTATTTTTTCATTCTTTGCTCTTGAAAACCTGTTTCTTTGCCTCGAATACGCTTCCCCTTCCTGCTTTGGCAAATTCATACTCATTTTTTTCAAATCTCAGCTCAAAACTCTTATCTTTAGAAACCATTTTCTCATCTTCAGTTGGAGATGTTTGCTGTACTCTCATAGCACTTGGTTTCTATCTCTTTGTATCTTGCATTCATGTATACTTTTCTTGTATCTCTTCCTCTCTCACTAACCTGAATTCCCCAAGAACAGTTATCTTTAGTTATTTCTGTACTTGCAGCTCATAACACAGTGCTGGGCATGAAGTGGGAATTATGAAGTTTAAAGGAAGGAAATCTTGAAATTGAACACCCAGTATTTCAGATCATACCTCTCCTGGGTCCAATCTTATGCCCTGGGTATAGATGATATGCAATACATTTAATCCATATGAGATTAGATAATCAGAAATTAGTGTTATTCTGGGAAAGATGTATGGTTAAAGTGCAATATTTACCTCTGAGCCATGTCTTATGTGATTAGGTGCCCTTTCTATTTAAGCTACATGATTTTCTTCATTATTATATATCTCCCAGGTAAGCAGCACAAGTTATCTCCTAATAGCCAAGTGCTTTTGGGATGTATAGTTTGGCACAAACAGTACATATTCCAATTATCCTCTTATGTAACATGATCTGATGTCTATTTGGATGCTGAATTCTTTGGCTAGCCTGTGCCTATCCAGATTAAGCAGGTTAAAGTGAATTTTCTTAACTTTATTTCAAATATTTCCAGGAGGGAGTTTTATTAAGCTGAAAAGCAATTTCAACCTTAATAGCAAATTGAGTTCATTTAAGATTTTTAGAAAAAATATTGTCTATATTTTACTCAAGCTCTTCATCATTAATGCCCTAAACCTCAAAATTATTTTAAATTTTATTGGCGACAATAGACCTTTAAAAATCTCCATCTCTGGAAGTATTTGTTGCTAGTGATTTGCTGTATGAAAATTTGCTTCTTTTAAAGAAGTTAGTCTTATTATATAAGGGTAGTATATGTTATTTTGACTTGTTTTTGATAACTTTTATCTGTTTCATATTTTAAAATTTTTTACTTGCTTAGAAACATTTATTAGTAACTATAATGTTTGCATTAATTTAGAATGGATTTATTCAGGGAAAGAGACAACTATTATCCAAATATTTGATACATTTTTAAAATTAAAAATGTATTTTTTACTCACCTGTGCTAAACACTGTAATAATACTTATACTTCCTCTTGTAAACCTGTCAATGACACTGTGAAGTGAGTATTATAATTGCCATTTAAAAGATGAGAGAACTAAATCTCAGATTTAGCAGTTAGATCATAATAACACAGCTTGAAAATGACAGACTCAGTTCTGATATCAAATTTATCTGACTCCCAAGCACCTGCTCTTATGCACTGAGCTCTATACATTTAAACCAGATATTTCAGGTCAAAATTAACGTTGATCTTGAATTATTGTGCTGTTAATTTTTAATTGGTTAGGCAGGTGATTGTGATCTTTTTTCTTTAAGCCTGTTCTGTAGCAACTGAACCATATGTTTTCACAATATCATTTGCAATAGGTTGGGGTGCTTTAGTGTTAGTACTTTCCAGAACTACAGAATGAATTACTTTGGAAAAGTATGATGACTAACACTTCGAAGAGAGAATTAAAAGTAAGGCTGTAGTTTTAGACACAAGTCTACAGAGTCAAATCAAGGAAGGGATGATATAAGAAATGATGTGACACCAATGAGAAGGGTACAGTTCTACATCTGCAGAAAATAAACATGTTAACAAGAAAGGGTGGAATATTTTTCAGACACTCCCTGACACAGCCTGGAGAAGATGGCTGTTAATTGAGTAATTTCCCTCATTTCTATTGGTGTAGTTTCATAGTAGAAAATCCAGCTTCCTAATCAATTTTTCCCAAAGAGTTCCTTTGTGAGACTTGTAAAAGAATATACTTACAGAATTAAGACTTTGCATAAACATTATGGATTCCTTTGCCTTCTGGGATTTTACTGGTATGAATGTACATTTTGCTTCATACAGCCCTGTCTGTGAGTCACGGGTGCATGGCTTTGTTATGCAGCTGCCTCTCTGGCATTTCTGGAAAACCACGTTAACCCCAGTAATATGAGTTGAACATCTATGATGAAGAAATTAGATTACATTTACAAATGAAGGCCAGAGAAATCATGAATAGACTACCAACCTAAAATCTTTCCCTCAATGATAATTGCTGTAGGTCACGTACCAAACATTTTGGCAGAAGTAGGTTCAATGTCCTACCCTTATTTACCATCAATTTCAACAAGAACAATGATGTCAGTTCATATTTATTAGCATTCATTCCTCACTAATGTGATCAATAAATCCTTGTTATTCTTGAATGCTAAGAATAAACATCTAAAGTAAGCCTGAAAGTTAAACTTACACTGCCTCAAACAAAGTATCTGGCATGCAGTAGGAGCTTAATAAATGTTATTTTAGCCACTTATTTTTACTGATATGTCTCTTTTTATGTCTGATAAGGAAACTCATTTGTTTTTCATTAATTTATCAAAAATATGTTGTTTGATATATTCTTCGTTTAACTTTCATTTACTTTGTGCCAGGCCTAAGGCCAACGGATGAAAAAAAGAGTATTCAAGAATCTTAAAGTCTATTGGGGAAAATAAAATTGCACAGACAGTTCCTGCCAGTGTGAGAGAAATGCTTGTACATTCCTTTGGGAATACTCTCAGGATATCTAACCCCAAATGGAAGGAAAGGAAAGACACTTAAGGGTAGACACATTTAAACTGAGTCGTGAAGGTTGAACAATATTATTTGGATAAGGGAGGTGTTGCTGGGAGACATGCTGGGAAATGCTGTGTGGGATGAATTCAGAGAAATGAGTGTCCAGGCATGAGAGCCTAATACTTAGGAGTCTCTAAGCAGCTCAGCAGAGATAAAGCAAATAACACAAAGGAGATGGGGAGAGGCTTTTTCTATCACAGCTCTTTCCTCTAGTAAGTTTTTCTCCCAAAGATTTATTTTCTGTTACACTGATTTCCATTGTTCTTTAATACTCTAAATACTCCACATGCTTGATATTTTTAATTTAAATATTTCATCTATTCATAAATAAGATTCATCTAAATCTACCCAGAATTATATTTCTTAAAAAAAAAATCAACGTACATATCCTTTTGAGAAATACTTTTTTTCTTTAAGCTCAAGATTAAATGAAAAAAATGGAACATCTTTAACGTGAAGCTCTAGGAGTTCAGTTGATTTTAATGAAACAGATTCACCTTAAAGAATTATTAATGAAATGGAATAAAAGATTGAGTAAAGATTTAAACTCTAATTCTTAGATATCTTAAGGTTCAGGCTATAGTTTTTTCCTTTCTCCTCTGACAATAACAGATTTTAGTACAATCCCCATGAATATTCAAATGATTCCTAATTCCTGATTGATCTTGATTCCAAGGTGGAATCTCCAGTTGTTGGCCATATACATGGTGGGTAGGTTGGATATTGCAACTAACTGAGCATTCAGCCACCGAGATAGACTTTCTTTGCCAAGTATAAAAAAGTAAAAAGTCATAGGTGAAAAACTTTAAAGACAGATTTGTTCAATACAACAATACCTTGTTGCTTCAACAGCATTGTTCCTGGAAATATAGAATGGCTGATCCACATTGTACTCATCAAATACTCCCCATCGGAGATGGGCCCACTCATGGACAAATGCTCTGCCTATGAGAGAATGTTGCCACTTAAAAATTTATATTTACAATTTTTTAATTGAGTTTTCTTATGTTTTAAGTCTCCCTGCCCCATATCCCCGATATAACTGAGTCAAGGAACTCTAGAAATTGACAACTTTCATTAAGCCAGAAATGTTGAAATGAGCTAGTATCAATAAATGACTAATATTATTATACGCACATTGAAAACTAAATATAATTAGGTTGAACATAAAGAGTATATTTCCAAACAAAGGTATTAATACTTATTTTCTCTTTTAAAAATCTTTAAAAATAACTTTAATTTCAGTGTACTAATTGTTTCCAGTGGGAAAAAACATAGAAGTATAAAATAAATATCCTTACCTCGGGATCCATAGACAGGCAAATTATTAGTCAAAAGAAAGTTTGGAGTAAAATGTATATATTGTCCTTTTTCTCCACATTGTCCATATTGAAGTGTATAAGGGTCATCTCCATATTTTAGGTAAGGATTAGCAACTATGACATCTGCCTAAAAAAGCAGAACAAACAAATCCAACAGTTCTGAAGAGCAATATAAACAAGGAATTTTTATTTAAATTAAGACAAGAAATATTATTAATCTAATTACTAAAGTAGGATTAGTTATTGATAAAGTATTATGGTATTAATTTTTAAAAAGCACAGAAGAAGGAAGAAACAGTTTAAGAACTAGGTAAAATATCTTACCCGGTCATATGATTCTTGTCTTGGCATTAAGTACTCAGATTTTGATCTCCAGGTCACTGGAATTAAAATGCTTACACTCCTGAAATAAAATCTTCGTTTGGTTGCATGAAATAGGTAAGTAGAAGCTTCGGTTACCATTTCCTAACAAAATTTAAAATATCTTGTGCTAACAATTTCATGAGCATAAAAATGTATATAGATACAACAAGCAGCAAACCCAATCTCCCTTCCCCCAACTATTTTGGCAAAGCTTAATTGAAAAATAGATTGAATTTTTCTATATCTCTTTAGTCTGTGAACTTCTCATTTTCATATACTCAAAAAGGAACTCTATTATTATTATTTGTTTAGCTTGTATAAACCTGCATTCAGCATTATGGTTTTGAGATAGTGGTGAGGGTGCTGGGTGAAATATAAAGGTAATTAGGACTGGGAGCCTGTTGGCAAATTGCTTATCAATCCACTGAAGGTGCTTATCATTGAGTTGGGAGTTTAAAGTTTCATAGTTTTTGTACTCCTCATTTTATTTGTGTTATTTCTATGTAACACTTTAATATATACTATTTTCCTTGATCCCCCAATATCTCCATGAGATGATCAAGAACAGAGATTATATCCTTGTTGTATAAATGAGAGAAGTGATTTGTAGAGCCATACAATAAATGGCAAAACTGGACCTTGAAACCAATGAGATGTATATATTTTTATGTCCATTACTGCTTGGTAAAACTTTGCCTTTTATGAACACACTCCATGAGAGAAGATAACAATAAATCTAGCAATTTTTTTCAATTAACAACTGAAAAAATGTATAAGATACTGAACCTCTAGGGCTTAAATGTTAGTTATTTAAACATTATGAAAGTAACTTTATAAAGATAAAATTTGACATTATTTTCCACCAGCTCTATGGTCTTTCTGTTGGTTTAGCGAGTTGAAAAACCTATTAGTAATTGGGCCTTTAATTAATTCATTAGGGGAATGAATAATACTGTTACTATATGATAAATCATACTTAAACTAAGCAATGATTAATCTTGACAGTTTAGAAACATACTCTGTAAATTACGAATACTGTCAAAACAATTTTGGAAAGTTATAACTGTGAGTGTGTGTGTATATGTGACTAGACAATCGATATGAGTTGAAAATACGTATTAAAATAAAAATAAGTAGATAATAAAATTTCCCTTCTTACCTTTATGTTTTGAATGAGGTTTTCTTCTTCTGGTACACTTGGATTAATTGCAATGACAATGCCATCATATCCATTATTATTCAAATTTACCATTGAACCTTTCACTCCAGGCAAGAGATATAAAGCTAGGACCAGAATAACAGTCAGATTGTGCACCATTTTTGCACTTGTTACAATAAACCTTTTGGAAATATAAGGATGGTATTTATGTATCTGCTTAACTTGGGAATTTGAATCTAGATTAAAATACTTGCATAAATATAAGAAATGACTAAAATATTTTGATGAACTCCCTTAGCTTACTTATTCTAAATATTTAGTTGTTTAGTAACCATGGGAATTATGTTTGTTAGAGTTCTAGAACAGCTGAGGTATTAAGTGCTCATTGAACTGAGCAGTTCTTTTTAGATTGTGTAGTCATCATCCTCATTGCAGTGACCAGTTAACTTCCTCTTCCTCCTCAATCTGTTTACAGAAAAACCCTCTAGGGAAGAATGAAGAATTGAAATGAAAAGCACCATGAAAGAGCAGATGAAAAGGGCCTGTTTAAAAAACAAAACAAACGAATAAAGAAAATGGAATGGGAGTGGCAGTGAATTGCATAGTTTATATTCTTTCTTTAGATGGAAGCAATACAAGCACAATGTTCAGGGACAGCTATGGGTCAAGGGGAAAATGGTTTTTTTGGTTACCTTTTGTGATGACTACTCATGTATTCCAGTTTTCAAATAGCATATGCTTAAAGTTCTTGTGTAACTTGGAAAAAATATGCTGCAATTAAAATTTCTCTTTTGTATTGAACAAAATCTGCCAGTTTTTTTTTTTTTTTTTTAGCTTGAAATAGTTGTACACATAGCATTGTGAACTGGCTTTGGAGTCAAATGAATCTAAACTTGACCCTTGCCTTTGTCATTTCACAGTCACATGATTCGTAGAGTTGTGTGGCTCTTTTTAGGTTTAGTTTTTCTTTTGTGATATTGGAATAATAATGGGTGTTTAAGTGAGATAATCTGTGGAAAGCACTTCACACAAGACCCCTGGCACCTGATAAATGTTCACTAAATATTATCTATTATTACTAGGCATTATGTATTATGAATACAAAGCTTGTTGTAAATTTTTGCTTTTATATCCTACATTTTCACTGTGTCTTTTGTGCAGCTTTAAATATAGTCTTCCAGTGTTCAACCAAGGAATGAAAGAACTCTGAGCCTGCCCAAAAAAGACTGGAGAAGGAAGTGAAACTATAAATCCTTTAAATGTTCTTTGATTATCTCTGTCTATTGACAGTAATCTCTTCTTGCCAGTCTAGTTTAGGTGTAGCTCTCCCATAAAAATCTTCTCAAATTTCCATGCTAGAATTAATCTTTCTCTTGAACTGCTTGAGGTAGGTTTCTACTTTCAAGACCTTGTAGCCTGAGACAATGCTTGTTATGATTTCAATTTTCTTCAATTTGTTGAGGCTTGTTTTGTGTCATATCATGTGGTTTATGTTTGAAAATATTCCATGTACATTTGAAAAGAATGTGTATTTGGCTTCTTTGGGGTGAAAGATCCTATATATGCCAGTTAAGTCCATTTCATAGAATATGTTGTTCAGTACCACAATATCCTTGTTAATATTTTGTTTGGAAGATCTATCCATTGTTGACAGTGAGGTATTAAAATCCCTTACTATCAGCGTGTTGCTCTCTATATCTTTCTTGAAGTCCTCTAAGATTTTCCTAATGTGTTTGGGTGTTCTTATGTTGGGTGCATATAAGTTTACAATGTTTATGTCTTCTTAATGAATTTTTCCTTTGAGCATTATTAAGTGTCCTTCTGGGTCTCTTTTGATGGCCTTTGTTTTAAAGTCTATTTTGTCTGATGCAAGTATTGCTACCCCTGCTTTTTTTTCCTGTCCATTTGCTTGGAATATTGTTTTCCGTCCCTTTACTTTTAGTCTGTGTAGGTCCTTTGTTCTGAGGTGGGTTTCTTGTAGGCAGCATACATGCAGTTCATGTTTTCTTATCCATTCAGCCACCCTTTGACTTCTGTTTGGATCATTTAATCCATTTACATTTAAAGTTATTATTGATAGGTACTTATTCATTTTTTTCCCTTTGTACCTGTGTTCCTGTCTTTCTCACTCTTTTTCTTCATCTTCTTAAAGCAGTCCCTGTAGAATATCTTGCAGTGTTGCTTTGGTGGAGGTGTATTATTTTAGCCTTCTTTTGTCTGGGAAACTCCTTATTTCGCCTTCCATTTTACTTTAGAGACTTGCTGGGTAGAGTAGTCTTGGTTACAGGCCTTTCCTTTTCATTTCTTGCAATATTTCTTGCCATTCCCTTCTGGCTTGTAGTGTTTCTGTTGAGCAGTCAGCTGCTAGCTGTACCAGGGCTCCCTTGTATGTTACTACTTGTTTCTCCCTTGCTTCCTTTAGGATTCTCTGTTTGTCTTTGATATTTGCCATTTTAATTATAATGCATCTAGGGAGTGGGCCTCATTGGGTTCCTCTTGAATGGGATCCTCTGTGCTTCCTGGACTTGGGTGACTTTTCCTCTCCTCAAATTAGGGAAGTTTTCCATCATGACTTTTTTAAACAAGTTCTCTATCCCTTCCTCCTCTTCTTCTCCTTTTGGTATCTCTAATATATGGATAGTATTATGTTTCAGGTTGTCCTGCATTTCCCTCAATGCCTCTTCATTCTTTTTGAGTCTTTTGTCATTTTCTTGCCCTTTTGGGGAGCTTTTATCTACCTTATCCTCCAGCTCACCCATTCAATCCTCTGCTTCATCAAGCCTGCTTTTCATTCCTTTTACTGTGTTCTTCAATTCAGAAATTGTATTCGTCATTTCCTCTTGCCTCTTCTTGATAGTTTCTATGTCCTTTTTCATGCTGATATAGTTTGCAGTAAGTTCCTCCTAGTTTCCCTGTAGTTTTTTGTAATTCTCTCTGAGCTCCTCTGAGCTTCTTTAGAACCACTATTTTGAACCTCAATATCTGATAGTTTACTTGCCTCTATTTCTTCTGGTTGTCTTTCTGGGGGTTCCCCTTTTCTTTTCGACTGGGAGGTGTTTCTTTGTCTTCCCATTATGTGTGAGACTCTTCGTTTTTGCTTCTGCTTCCTAAATTGATCTGTCTTAACTTCCTGATCTTGTGGTGTGAAATTCTATGTTTGGAGACTGCTGTTTTTTCTTTCTGGATCTGCCTCTGATGATGTCAGATGTTGACCCTATCTGACCTTAGGCAGTCTATTCAAGACTCCCTGGAATCTACTGCCTGTGGCTGTCTCCTTCAGTTCTTAGTCTAGTTACTCTGCACTCAGCAGTGAGGCTTAGGCACCACAGGGCCACAGCAAAGCCTCCTGGGGACGGGGCTATTGTATCCTCTCTCTCACTGATGCTGCTCATGGGTGTGCTCTGCTTGAGCCAGATGGCTGCTGCCGCATGGGGGATGCGTCAGCACCAAGATCCCGCTGGCTATTCCCCCAGTTCTCTCCCCAAAGCCTTCTTCCCCAGTCTGTCCTCAGGCATCTGTAGCCCACTCTGCCCCCACCTTTGCCGGAACCCAGGGTAAGTGGCTGCAGATAAAAATTTGTGCACTGCCCCTTTAAACTACTCTTTGCATCTCCAGCCACCTGTCTCTGGCAGAGAGCAACCCTGCTGCTTTTTGCAGCGGGCTGTTATCTGTGTACTTCTTGGGCTCTGGTGACATAGGCTGCAGATCCCTACTTGTGGTTTAGACACTGCTCTTCTCAGGGCAATACAACTGGCCATTTTAATAGCCCTCTAGCACTATTGCCCCTGGGTGCTCAGCCTGCCTTCTCAAATCTCTACCACATTCCTTACCAATCAGGTTTTGCTAAAGCTGATTCTTTTGTCTGTCCGAGGTTATAAGGCTCCTCTCTTGCTATTGTTCAGTTGTTTGTTCAAGGGGATTTCTCCACAATTTAGTTGTAATTCCAGATTGGTCCTGGGAGGAGGTCAGTGTGACCTCCATACACTCCTCCACCATGTTGCCTTCCCCCAGGAGACTTTTTTTCCTATTTCTACTTCTTAATCCCCTCACCTCTTCACCCATTCTCTCCCTGTCCTCTCCTATCTGGCTAACTAACTTCTTTTCTCTTGCTGCTTTTAAGAGTCTCTCTATCTTTAAGCATTGGTCTTTTAATAATGATGTGTCTTGGAGTGGGCCTCTTTGCATACATCATAGTTGGGACTCTGCGCTTCCTGGACTTCCATGTCTATATCCTTCACCAAATTAGGGAAGTTTTCTTTCACTATTTTTATTCAGAAAGATTTCCAATTTCTTGCTCTTTCTCATCTCTTTCTGTAACTCCTATGAGGCAAATGTTGGACCACTTAAAGTTGTCCCAGAGGCTCTTTATAATCTGCTCATTTTTTTTTGATTCTTTTTTCTTCTTGCTGTTTTGCATGGTTGTTTTTTGCTTTCTTATCATTGATTGATTCTCGGCTTTACCCACTCTACTGTTGTTTCCCTGTGAATTGCTCTTTATTTCAAGTAGTGTATCCTTCGTTTCTGACTGGGTCTTTTTTATGCTGCTGAAGTCCTCACTAAGTTCCTTGAGCATCTTATAAAGTGTTTTGAACTCTGTATCTGATACATTGCTTATCTCCTTTTCTTTTAGCTCTTTTTTCTGGGTTTTGACCTGTTCTTTCATTTGGGCTAGGCTTCTTTGTCTCCTCATTGCGGCAGCCTTCCTGTGTTTGTTTCTGTGTATTAGGTAGAACTTCTTTGAGTCCATGCCTCGATAGTGTGGCCTAATGTAGTAGGTGCCCTGTAGGGTCCAGTGGCATAGCCTCCCCTATCACCCAAGCTGGGTACTCAATGTGCATCCTTCATGTGGGCTGAGTACAGCCTCCTTTTATAGTTGAGCCTTGGTTGCTGTTGGCAGGTCAATGGGAAGGATTGACCCAAGCCATTCAGCTGTAAGGACTGGCTGTGACCACTGACCACCAACCTCCATCCTCCATGGAGGATCAGTCATGCAGGGGCAGTGTGGTGGTATTCTGACGTGGTCTGCAGCTGTCCACTGGGTATGCTGGTGCTGGGGTTTCCTGGGTGGTGCAGGCAGAGGTCAGCTCCCACCTGTGTTTTGCCCAGGTCAACCTGCCTGAGCTGGAAAGAAATCTGAGATGGCTGCTACTCATACTCAG